AATATGTAATTTGTTTTTTCTAAAAATTATATGAGTGCAAATAGGGATCTGTTTGTTTTATCGTCAGTCAAACATCGTAAACCGAATTGTCCCAAACATTACGGGACGGAGGTAGTATGTAACTTTTGATTTTACGCGCTGAATTATATAATAATAAGGCAAAATAAGGTTCTAGTTACTTTTTTTGCTATATTGGTTGAAATTACTGTAAAGAATCATTGCAGCTGTTTTTCCATACATTTTTTATAAATTGGCAAAAACAGTCAATCAAGCCACTTCGATTAGCTAGAACTGTTGGGTGTGTTTCGGAAAATAAAGAAAATTAATTAAAATAAATTAATTAATTAAATAAAATGACTAGAGAAAAACAAGAAAGGAGATGAAGCAGAATTAGTCAAAGCTCGTGCTACGCACGATGTCCTTAAAACGTATTTGTTGCCTCCCACGGTGCTAGGAGCGTTGCAACAATCGTTTCCCAGGATACGATGACTACGAACTAATGTTTGAGCACACAAACAAAAGTTCCAGCGAACGAGAACAAAGACTGAACACTCAGGAATTTTTCAGACTGCTAGCAGTGTGTTTTTTAGAGCTAAAACGTGTATGGATTCGTGTAAAATCGTATAAGAACCTCTGTTGTTGCAAACCACCTGCCAACCTTTATATAGGAGGATTTGTTGTGTGTAAATGGTGAATTAATGGACCTGAACGTTGGACATCAATGACCAGTCCGTTGGGCATTGAATCGTCCATGAACTGTCCATTTATTGTAACGTTTCAGAAGTGCGACAGAACGTTGGGCATTAATTGTTGTAACGTTTCAGAAGTGCGACAGAAGACCTCCATCAGAACACCCCGGGAGGGGTTCTGATCGGAGGCCAATCAGAAGACCCCAACTCTGATCCGCGGCCATTAGAGTACCCCCAAATCAGAAGACCCCAAAATTAATCGTATCTCTTGAGAGATAGATTTTTGGACGACATTCGTGTCCGCAGGTCGCCCCGCGCACGCAAGTCGCGGTTTTTCTTTTCCGAATTCGGGATTTGATTTGCACCCCCCCCCCCCTGCGCGCGTGGAGAGAGCCTTTACCCTTAGGAATCTTAACTCCTTAGGGGAGAGTCCCTTTATAAAGGGTTGCAAATCCCTTGGGTTTTCCGGTGTGGGAAATTAACACACTAGAAACCCATCCTTTTTCCCAGTTTTTCCATTCTAACGGGTAAACTTCGAAAAGCGATTTCTCATTCACCCGTTATCCGTTTTGAGCGTACCATATATCGAATTGTAGCCCTTAACAAGGACAATCCGAAACCACTTTGACCCGACCCAAATCGGAAGTGGACCCCACTCAAAAATTGCCCCAAAATAGCCATTTAATGTAATTTTTCACACATTTTTCCAACAAGAACTTTATAAATTTGAACAGAGTCAGAAAATATAGCCGATTTGAGTATTACCAAATGGGGTGTTGAGGCCGAGAGACAGTAAAAGTATTAAACTGTGTAGAGTAAACATCATCATGTTGTTAAAAGGGGGAAATAACCTTTTTGACTTTTAAGTAAACTAAAAGCATGCTTCTTTGTTTGAAAAGATTCTAATTTGAATTAGTCGTATGAAGAGAAAATGTTTGTTAATATTTCACAATTGTATTAGGAAAGTCACTTTGAGAACTTGTATTCAAAAACACAATCAACGAAGTATTTCCTCAACAATGTTATCTATCACTTTACTGGACTATACAAGTGGTTTTGAAAAAAAAAATTAACCCACACATGTTGAGGTAGAGGTAATGTCTGTATGACTGTATGGTATACATCTCATACCGTGATTTGGTTTTATCTGATGTTGTTAGCTTCTTTGCTACTTAAAACCTTTTGTTATGATTTCAAGAGTAGTAATCTTACTTTATCACGGTATTTTGGTTCATACTCTTACAAGCTGTTCTCTTCACCTGATCTGAATGTTTTTTATCTGATCTGATCCGAATTTTTCTGATCTGAATGTTCCTGATTTGATCTGAATGTTCCTTATCTGATCTGAATGTTTCTGATCTGATGTGAATCCTTCTGATCTGATTTGATCTGAATCTTTCTGATCTGATCTAATTTGAATATTTCTAAAATTATAATTATAATTATAATTACTATAATTATAAATGTAATTACACATATATAATTTAAATATAATTATAATTATAATCATAATTATAAAAATTATAATTATAATTACAAACAAAATTATAATAGGTATAATTATTAGGATCCTAGTTATTATTATACGTATTACACTAGTTATAAATATAGCTATAATTATAATTGTAATTATATTTATAGTTATATTTATTTCTATAATTATAATTTTAATTATAATTATAATATTTATTTCTATAATTTTAATTGTAATTACTCCGTATAATATGATAATAACGAAAACAAAACTAGTAACAATAGCAACAACAACCATAATGGTAGTAAGAATAATAATAATCATGATAATAATAAATATAATAATAATCATCATCATAGTCATCACAGTAATCATATTACTAATAATAATAATAATAATAATAATAATAAAAATAATAAGAATAATAATAATAATAATACTAATAATAATAATATCAATAATAATATTAATTACTACGTATAATAATTACAACAACAACAATAATAATAATAATTATAATTATAATTATTATTAATATTATTATAATTATTATTATAATAAAAGGGATAAATCATGTCTGAACTTTTCTGATTTGATATGAATGTTCCTGATGTGATCTGAATGTTTTTGATCTGATCTGAATGTTTCTGATCTGATCTGAATCTTTCTAATCTGATCTGAATGATTCTGATCTGATCTGAATTTTTCTGATCTGATCTGAATTTTTCTGATCTGATCTGAATAAAATAAGAATAACCAATAAGTAATAAGATTAAGACAAACATAACAGCTTCTTATTTTATATTTTTATGCAAGACTTATCCTCCATAAAAATACGGAACTTTTTCCCTTACTTGAGTACTTCGGTAGGTCTTTTTGCTCTAAAAAGGAAAGTTTAGCATGCATACGTATATATGTACGTACACATGAATACTATATCCTTCCTCTGTTCTTAAATAAGTATAACGGTCAACATTTCACATTTGTCGAGACACAACTTTAACCATTAATATATATAATTCACTATTAGTAAAAAAAATTAAAAAAATCAGATTTTGAAAATTTACAATGACACAAATTTATTACAAGTATTGTTTTTTTCAAAAAATTATATTAACACATCAACAAATAAAATGTAGTCAAAGTAGAACATGTGAATAGTGTAAAATGTAATATGTTGTACTTAAGAATGGAGGTAGTAATTAATGAGAAATGTTAGAGCCTCATTTCATTCGAAATTGTTAGACCATACCAAATTAGAATAAAACAGACCAGACCAACAAATTTTAATTCATAAGAAAAAAAATCCTAAATAGTACTCCATACGTCATACTCCGTACATTGTAAGATACATTTTCTTTTTTACTTTGTCCAACAATATAAACCCTGTAAGAAAAAGAGAAAAAGAAAAGAGTGGCAAGAAAGACAGAGGGATGAGAGCTAACTACGACGACGGAGGCACGGAGCCGCTGCGTCCGTGCTAGAGGAGAAGGGGAGGAGCGGCAATGACGAGCGACGAGCAGGAGGGGAAGGGGACGAGTGGTGAGCGTTGGCGAAAGTCAACCAGGTGTGAAGCCAGATCGAAGAAGCAAGTGAGATCGGAGAAGCCTGGTTCGAAACTTGGTTCCAAGCTGAATCGTTCTTCTGGTGCGAAGCAAAAATGCGCAAAAGCAAAAAAAGAGCCGACTATGTCGTGCGCACAATATAGCATATGATATATTTTACTTTAAAGAAAGGAATTTAATACTCCCTATTTTATAAAGGGAAAAGGGGCAAAGAAGTCTCGAACTTAGTAAAAAAGTGCAAATCACCCCTTATATAGGAGGTTCTGTCCGACCGTCTTCATTTGGGGCGGTTTCCGGTAGAATGTTTTGATGAATTTTTTTTAGCATCTTCTTCATTAAGTCTAGTTTACCCATACCAAATTTCAGCTAAAAATAAAATTGGGAAGCCAATCAAATGATTTTCTGAAATATATACTGTGATGTTTAATTGCGCAGTTATCTTTAAAAATTCATTTGACTGCCTTCGCGATTGGATTTTCTGAAATTTGGTATGTGTAAACTAGACGTAATGAAGAAGACTCTAAAAAAATTTCATCAAAAAATTCTACCGGGGGAACCTTCTGAAATGGCGACGACTGGATAAAACCTCCTATATAAGGGGTGATTTGCATTTTTTTAGTTAGTTCGAGAGCTTATTTTCCACTTTTCCCTTTTATAAATAAATATATATAGATATATATATATATATATATAAATATATATATATATATATATATATATATATATATATATATATATATATATATATAAACTGCCCAGTTAACTTCAACAAATTATTTGAGTGCCTTCCCGATTGAATGTTTAGCTGAAATTTGGTATGAATAACTAGAATTCATGAAGAACATGCTCAAAAAATTTCACCGGGAAGTGCCCGAAATGCCCTCGGCCGGACGGCGGTTCCCGTCAGGCCGGCTGGACATGAAAAGTTGTCTATATACTTTGTATATATTACGGAGTAAGGATGTTTTCTTTTAGACTGTTTTTAGTCCCAGACCAGACCAGACCAGACCAGACTTAAACAGACCAGACCAGACCAGACTTGGATAGTTATAAAATACACAGAGACCAGACGTTTACCAGACCAGACCAGACCAGATCAGACCAGACCAGACTTAAACAGACCAGACCAGATCAGACCAGACCAGCAACTTTCAGTCCAAAAGAAAACATCCTAATAGTGTAATTCTTAAAATAAATCGGTATACGGAGTGTATTTTAAGTACATCCGTATATGTATATGATGAAATGGTGTACTCCGTATTATACTACTCGTATTGTCTACGTTTAGCTGTGATAAACAACAATAAACAAATACGTAGTATATAACCCGTATCGATAAAATCCAGGAAGCTACCCACCATTTTACAATCATTTTTTGAAGCAAGGCAGCTAGGAGAAGGACGCGTTACGACTTTTTCTCTTCCGAAGAAGAAAGACATAAAAGGGGCAATACTTCATTACTCGTTCAAATTCAATTCTTCATCTTCATATCTATCAACAGTTTCGTTTTCTGGTAACTTCAGCTGCCTATTCTCTCTGCTTTAAGCCCTATCTCAATACTTCTTTTGGGGGTTTATGAGGTCTTTGTTCTTCCACGTGTATCTCGATATAATTGCCCGGACATTCTTTGATTTTTGAGATCTTTTGATGTCGTTTCTTTCTGATTTACGGCCCAAAAATCGATCTTGGTTATTATTTAGTCCTTGAAAGAATGATCATGTTTTAGCTCTAACCTTATATCAAATCGAAATTTCTAGTGTTGGGATTTTTCGATGATGCTAGGAGATGATGTAGAAGGACAAAATAAGCAAGAAAGCTCATTGGTTTTACTGTTTATGGTTTATTATTGCGCTTTAGTATTGCTTTTACATGGTATCAGATACAGCGTTGACTGTAATTTGTCTTGGAATGCAAAACCATTTATAAAAGAACTGAAATCTAGAAGTGGAGCTGCAAAAGAATCGATCTTTAGATTTTTTTCTTCGTTCAATATTGTTTGTAATAGTAACATTTTCTCTGTGGTAATTGTAGTGAAATTTGGAAAAGGAAGTATAATGGGAGAGCACATGGTCTTGAGCAATGATCGCCTAATAAGCCCTGAATCTGTTAAAATTTTGCAAAGTTCTGAGGCATCCAGACCTTCAGGAAGCAGTTCTCTCTCTCATAATCTGGATGATCAATCTGCATTAGCTATTGATATAAAGGAGGAAGACGATGACGTGCTAGGTGAAGAAGAGCCGCTAATTCAGTCTGTAGAATGCCGCATTTGCCAAGAGGAAGACGCCGTCAACAATATGGAAGTTCCTTGTTCGTGCAGAGGCAGCTTGAAGGTACTCATTGTGTCCTTTTGCTTTTCCTTATGAATGGCAACTTATTATGGTTGTACATTGTATGGTTCTTTTGCAATAAAATCAACTCTGCAAATTCTTTGTTTGGATGCTCAGGTCAAATAAAAAGATTTCATTCTAATGCTACATTGTTTATAAGAATCTTGCACCATCTATTAAGTGCTTCTAATATAATGGCGTTATTTCAAATGCTCCACATGGCACTTATCCTTGGTTTTTAATTGAAGAATAGTAGAGAAATAGCTCATAATAATATACTCCTCTGTATCATTCACGTATCATCTATTTGGTATTTTGGTTGTTGTGCAACACTTGGATAAACTGCTGGTGAATGGTTGGCTGAATAGAACATGTGAACTTTTGTGCTCAAATTTTTTAATGTTAAAAATCACAATATGTTTTGTTGTTAAGTGATTGCGACATTCTTTTCATTTCCTTATTTCTCATGCCTTAAATCCAGTTTGCACACCGCAAGTGTGTCCAAAGATGGTGTGATGAAAAGGGGGATATCACTTGTGAGATATGTCATCAGGTCAGTTTCTGCTCCTTTTGTAATTGTAAATGTCTTAATGGATTATGCAAAGCTTAAAAGACACACTAGACACGGGAATCATGCACTACATATTTTATAAAGCATCACTAAACAACTTAATAACTTATGAAGCCTACATATATACTCTAGGGCAGTTGTAATGCTACCATTATGAAGCCTACATATTTACTCATCTATGTAATTTTTCTTTCACTTTTTTGCTGTTGTTATTCACGAAGCTGTTGCTATGCTGATAAATGGTGATAACTACATAACTAGTTCTGTCAATATAAGCTTTATGATGCATGTTTTAACCAAAACTGATTTTCATAGACTTAAAAACTGGTGTTTAACGATGGTGGGTGGGTATCACCATATCAGTTTGGTCTTCAAACTGGTGTTTACCTATAATATGCAAAAATACTCATTATATCTTTTGAAGTTTTGGTAGTTCTGTAGGTTTAGAGAGAACCGAGCTCTCTGTTGATATTTCCCTTCAACTGTAGGAACTTCACTTTTGGTTTACTGTATGAGCTGTGAAAAGCTAATCAATACATGTTTGTGTGAATGTCTAAAGACTTTCTTTCTGTTGTGCAGCCCTACCAACCTGGATATACTGCCCTTCCTCGTCCCCAGTCTGAAGATACTTCTATTGATTTTGGGCAAGTTTCTTTTTTCTTCTCCACACCATGTACATTTAGGGCATACATGGATCACAGAACATGTAGTTATCTTGAATAGATTAGACATGGATGAACAAAATGAGTATTCATCAATATCTAGAATAACTTTATTTAGCCTATCTTTAGTTCCCCCACATTTAATATTCCTTCTAAGTTCCATCTATGTTTTCTTTCCTTCCTCCAGACAAAGCCTTAGGATCTTTAACCTTGATAATTACCCAGACACATTATATCTGCATTTGTGTATGTTGCAGACCGGGGTGGACTGTTACTGGAGATCAGCTAAACTTACATGACCCCAGACTTTTGGCAATGGTTGCAGCAGAACGCCATCTTCTAGACGCTGACTATGATGACTATGCTGATTCAAGTGCCAGCGGAGCTGCTTTTTGTCGCTCTATTGCTTTCCTTGTAAACAATCACTACCTCTCTCCCCCGCATACCTTATATATATGTTGTTACTTCGTATATGGTCTTTAAAGATAGTTTACTAGCCCTGCATACCTGATTAAGCTATAACATTTTAATTTTGACAAGGTACAACTCTTAGAAGTCTTGAAATCTGACATGTTTTTAGAAGTTGCTTGTTCTTGGTCCTATGAATATTGAAAAATATTGTCTTTATTATTATCCTTCTAACTTGTATTTTTCCTTGTCAAGGCACGCCATGTATACTGTAATATTCTATAAGTTGCTTTGGTCCTGTCATCTAAATTTTCTGTAACGTTGATTATCCAATCTTCCCTTTATTACATCTAAATCCTGCTTCTTGGTTTGTGATAGTTAATGGCTCTCCTACTGTTAAAGCATGCTCTGAGCATTGGAAATGGTGACGGAGACGATGATGACGTTTCTGCTATTTTCTCTGTAAGTGGAATATTAATACTGGGATTAATTTTTGTTTTGACATGCCAAAGATTAATTTTAAGGCTTCTGTATTGCAGCTTTTTTTGCTTCGAGCAGCTGCTTTTCTTATTCCATGCTACATTATGGCTTGGTTTATTAGTATATTGCAGCGTCGAAGACAAAGACAGGTCAGAGTCTAATGGCTGCTAACATTATTATTTAATTAATTCGAAGACAAAGCATCAGAATGCATGTTTTATATGACATCAAGTAGCCAAACTATCACTCGAATAGTCAACTACCCATATGCCTCTTCAAAAATGTTTTCTTGATTTTCTTGTTTTCGACAGATGAATATATTCCTAAAATGATTTCTCATGTTTGAAACAGAAGGATAATGCATTATGTGATTCTTTGAACTTTTAGTGAAAATAACATCCTTTCTGGAAACTAGTCATTTTCTTGAAACATATATACGCTTTTCTATTTATGGCCACATTATATAATACATTAAACAACTCATTTCCTGAAAATAACATCCTTTCTGCATTGTTTTGTGCATACAAGGGATTTGTCTATTTAATAGTATGATATTTATAGTTCTTAAGATTGAATCCATGAAAACAGGAGTCAGCAGCAGCGTTGTCAGCAGCAGAAGTAGCATTTATGCTGCAGGCAGGGCAGCACAGAGGTTTACACTTCGCAATAACACCACAGCCTGCACCAGTTCCAGCCCCAGCCCCGCCGCCGGTGACTGCTATTGAAGTGCCAAGTGGCATTAGTGAGCAAGTATGAGTGTTACTTTGTTTTCTTTTCTACTGCTGCTTATGCACGAGAAGTTCTACCAAATGTCACATCTTTATCAGAAATTCTATGGAACTTGTATGATATTACGTTTTATATTCGGCAGATTAAAATTTCCCCAAATGCCTGGTACCCTGATATTTAAATGGGATTATATACAATGCATCCAAATATAATAAACTCTATTGTAAATTTGAATAAGTCTAAATTTGCATTCCAAATTTGTTTTATTTTGTGATCTTACTTGAAAGTTATTAACTCTAAATTTGCATTCCAAACATTTACAAATGCTTTTGTAATTATAAAAGATTTGAGCAGGGTGTTATGTGTTAAAAGAAAATAAACAGGGGATAGAAATTAATAAAAGATTTTGTTTGTGCAAAATATTATGTGTGAACCGGGATTCACTGACAAAAAAAAGCCTTCACAAACATAGGTGGGTACAAACGTGGGTATAAGAGTGGGTACAAACATCATTTTTGAAATCATTTTTGAAATTAATATGTATTTCGAATTTATGAGAAATTGCCAAATTTGGACGTATTGTGTATAACTTATCTAATGTGCTAGTTAGGACTTAGGGTATCAGTTTAAATTAACGAAGAGTTTAGTCTACCAATCAGAAAATGTAATATTACCGAGTATAACTGTTATGATACAGACTTACAAAGTGAGTATGTTGGAGAATTGGAGAATGTTGTATTGTTTGAAATGTTTGTTCTTCATTTAAACTCAGAAGGCCAATGAAGGGCATTAAGCTACCTTTGAGAACTTCAATGCTCAGCTTCTTTTGTACTAATGGTTCTATATATCAAGATATAACTGTTATGTATCTGTATTGGGTTATTGTTACATTCACATTGTACTAATTTTTATTTATTTATATTTGGAGTATAAACTTTCAACAGTTAACTTTCACTTGATCTCCCAACTGTATGGTGATAAATGATAATGATATATTGATATTGCCAATTTGCTCACATTTTATTTTGGATTTGGCATGTTTTGGAAACTTGACAAACGTAACTAACCAAAAGTTCTAAATTCTAATCCCATTATAGACTATAGTTGAGAGATAAAAAGAGGTTTTATACTGCCATAAATCGAGTTCATCGTTAAATTTTTTCACTTATGGACTTTTAAGTTTTAACTACAGTAAAACGCTAATTCTGGTTCTTGACTAATGATTTAACCACATTTCTTTCCGGATTGTGTCAAGTTTGAGTCCAAACTATTTATAAGCAATAAGATAAGATCTGCTAAGCATCTTCAATTTAAATTTGCGTTAGTTAAAATATCGAAGAGATTATCAAGTGTGTTTGGATTTGCGGTAGAGCAAAAAGTGTAAATTGTTGATAGTTGAGACTTGAGAGACCCACAAACTTTAATGGTGCAAAACTCCCTATTGCATTTTGTTTGTTTTAAATTCTGATTTGATTAATAAAATTACTGTTATCCTCCTAAATAATGTTGTGAAAATATCATAGGGTCTACTTTACTACGCTACTGGTTGAAAATAAAGTTTAGCATTTTGAGAGTAGAGATTGGGGAGAGCACGATCCAAAGAATGGCATAAAGAAAACACCATAATAAGCAAAAAAAGAAAATCAAGAGAGCGATTTTGGTTGCATGGAGAGAAGAGCTAGGAAGAAATCTAAAGTGAAATAAGAATAAAAAGCAAGCTTGTTCATCAAAAAAAAAAAGAATAAAAAGCAAGCTAGCTGCTAGCTAATGGATTTTCTTTTCTGAAGATATCTCTCTATTCCTCACGTTGCCCAATATCTCTACTTTATCCGGCTTTCTTGTAACTCTAAAATAATAATCAATCTCTTCTTTGCCTGCTTCATTTTTATTCCTTTTTTTTTACAAAATAATAATACTAATAAGCCGTTCAACTACCGTAAAAAAAAAGCCGTTCAACTGGAAGAAAGAGTGGAAGTAGTCAAGTAGAGAAAGTATCCATCTACAATTTCAAAAAAAAATAAAAAATAATTGACCAATCAGAAATATAAGAAATGAATTTCATAAAAATTTCACATTCTACTTAAAGAATTAAATCTGTTAACCCGTATGTCCTGTTTTTTTACATATATTAACATAAGACCACTTCCCTAATTTAAACATCACAATTCACAAACGTTAACTTTATTGGTTTTCCTCTCATACTTTTCTTACTCTCTTACAAATGTAAAGTAACAATTATCTCTTTTATTTTCTTGAAACTTGTTCCAAACATAAAATGTACCTTACCTATTGTAGAGGGACTATATGTTTCTCTTTTACATAAGGGTAATTCTTGGTGTACACAAAATTTCTACACAAATTGTACACTTCCTATGTACACAAGCATTTTGACATATAATTCTGCTTTTTTCAAACGAATTGGCAATTGGGGGGTTGTGTACAAGATGTTTACTAACTCTGTGTACAACATGAATTTAACTTTATACATAAAGGGTAAATGTAATCACATAGTTTTAACTTCTCCACAATTTGGATTACCGCAACAACAATATGAGTCTGGGAGCGCATGTCTGCTCTCTAGCTTCGGCCGCCGCCTAGGGCTTCCCTAGGGGTTTGTCCGGTGGTGAACTCCCTAGTCGCGGCACCAATTGCTTATTTTTTGCGTCTACCGTAGCAGTTTTAGCGCGGTCGATCGTCGGTTACTCTCTGTTTGGATTCTCTCGCTGCAGCTCCGCTTCGTCGGTGGATATGGAGGTGGAAACGAGTTTTGGAAATTCGTTTGAGTTTTCTTTTTCTGGCATGGAAAGCTTCGTGGACAAGTACAAGATGATGGCGATTGGGGCAGAGAGAGAAGAACTGGATCTAGATGAAGCTGATGTTGAGGTTGTGGCGCATGAACGGTGCCCCCCCCCCTGAGCCGCCGCAATGGAGTGCAAGCAAATCTAGGGTTTGGAAGAAGATGGGTGAAATCTATTTTAATTCCGTTTTATTCAGTTTGTGCTTTTCTGTCAAATTGCATGTTGTTTTGGACGTGTTCCTTTTTCCTAGCAGAGATATTCTTGAGTTTAGGTTAGGTGATGAGAAGTCTGGTTTGCTAGTCTTTGGCTCAGTTAAGCCCATTACAGGGTCAGCGAATGTTATTGCTTCTACAGAGGTGATAGATTCTGAGTCTGGTTCGAGGGCGGACGGCAAACATAAGGCTTTTTATCGTCTTGTTTTCTTTTTCTTTGATGGTATTATCAGTCATGCGAACGTTATCCTGATTTAATATATTCGTTGGACTATTTCATTCAAAAAAAAAACTTCTCCACAATTTGTGCTTGTCAAAGTATGAGGTTTTGGTACTGTAATAATACTGTACACTATATTGAAGTCTAATGCAGCTTCTTTTGGAGAGATTGTGTTTCAAAACAGAAATGGGACAATTATTTTGGAAGATCCCAAAAAAACTAAAACAATTATTCAAGACAATTATCAAGAAGTACGGTCAGGTCCATTTTCAAATGTAGAACACAATGTGAGGATGACATGGCAGATCAGTAAGCAAAAGGGATCCATCATAATGGATTGGTCCAAAAGAGGAAGAAGACATATGTTTGGGATTGTGGGGAACAAATCTAAAGATTCTTGGCTTCCCTAGAATGGTGTGCCCCCAGCCCCCCCCCCCACCCACTTGATGAATTGCCTTTTGTTCAAACCTGCCTTAACCAAGCAGCAGCCTTATATTGCTTCTATATCAGGCTGGCTTATGATTGGGGTGAATCTCTAAACTTGTCTCTATGTTTTGGGACCTCTCTGCTTTACCTTCCTTTTTGTTATCATTACCACTCTTCACAAATCCCATAAAAGATCAAACTCATCAAGCTTCAATTGCACAGGCAATTGCCACATATATATAAGCTGCACAGTCATTCCCACATGTAGAACATATAAATCTTTCTCTTCACTACTTCTTTCCCCTCACATTATCATCCTTTCCTTCTTCTTCTGCTTCTTCTGCTTCTTCTGCACCACTCTCCTGTTTCTTAGCTCAAGAGAATATAAAATGGGCTGCCTTTCTTGGAGGATCATCATTCTGTTTCTTTCAACTGGCTTCTTCTTCTTGTCTTTTCAACCTGAGATGTCTTCTGCTCTGACAAGTATGGATATTGTCCTGAGAAGCTCTCGGGTTTTACAGGGAGTTGCCTTTCAGGGTCTGAATACAAGGATGAGTGAAGCTCCGGCTCCTTCCATGAGGAACCTTGATCCTAACCAATCGGAGAAAAGAACAGTTAGTAAAGGGTCTGATCCTATTCACAATAGAAGCTGACGAAGAAGATCAGTCTTTTCTTGGCTTGGCTATATTTATAGAGCTGATGAAGAATTTTCATTATCAGAAATTGTTTCAGGCTAGCTAGGGGTAGTCAAAGATCGATAGAGTTTGTTCTGACAAAGAGAAGATTGAAGGAAAAAGTTTTGCACAAGCTAGCAACATTTTCTTGTCTACCGTGTAGAGTTATTTATTAATACTTGCTCTCTTTACTTTTACTTAGAGCCACAGAACCTACTGGTGCGGGTATAAATGAATTGAGAGAGTATTAGATTAATGGATTGAGTTTCACATTAATATGCTTCACAAATTATTCTATTCTTAATTATCTGTGATTTATACTTCCTGCGGCCATTAAACTTTTTTAATATTTGCGAATACAATTTTTTCACTTCAAAAAAAAAAGTATAGCGTGCAAATATGAAGGGTAAACTATTACTCGTAATTTCTATGATGTACTTTCTCGCGTTTTCATAATACACATGTTTTGATTTTTTACCAAACTCCATGTATTATCCTATTCATTTCAGACTTCAAGACTTCTTCACGACTCTAAACCCCTCACAAATTGACACTCTTATAGGTTACAGATTAAATAAAAATAATATTTCCCACAAAAATTGCGAAGGATTGCACTAATTTTCCGATGTGGGGTACACACTATTAAGTTTCTATGATGTACTTTTTCGCATTTTCATAACACATTGAATGATTTACCAAACTACCAACATATTTTTTTAATGGACTATATTATTGTTGCCTTGTTGGCATGGTCACATCAAAGTTCAAAAAGTGCAACATATGACCTTTAGAGCCCGTTTGGAGACCTCTTTTTTCGGCTTATCAGGCTTATCAGCCAGCTTTTTCACCAAACACGTAACTTTTACTTTTGTGTGCTGAATTGTGTAATAAGCAGAAAAAGTAAGGTTGGAGTTACTTTTCTGGCTGTATTGGCTGAAGTTACTGTAGAGGACTATTTTAGCTATTTTTACATGTAATTTTTTCTATAATTTATTAATAAAATATATTTTTAAAATATTTTTTTTCTTGAATCAGCAGAATCAGCCAAAACAGCCACTTCAGCCAGAATTTCATAAATTCCAGCAGAATCAGCCAAAACAGCCGATTTTCGTGCTACCAAACGGGCTCTTAATGTATATGAGATTGAGTAAATTGTGATGGTTCAAAACCATTAGAACCTCACCCTATATTATACTCCCCTGTCTCATTGGACTTTGCTAACTTTCTACTTTGGTTGTTCCACAAAACATTGTCACTTACATATTAAAACAACTAATTTGTGATTCTGTCCATTTCTCTTTCCTATGTACAAATCTCAACCACATAACTTTTACTTTTGTTATTTCTCACATACTTTGCACTTGGCAAAGTCCACCGGGACGGAGGTGGTATATGGGGGAAAATCATATACAAAATCCACTTTTGATGCAAAGTGGAAACTCGCCTTCACGATCGGTATGACATCCATGATAGTATTTGCGGTATGAGATGCAACAAATTAAAACACTAAGACCGACTACCGTATTACAGTTTGTTGCAAGGCTATTAGGGTAATGTTAAAAGCTCTTTCCAGGATATATCTCAACATCCAACTAGTCATATAACCATCCAAATATAGGCAATATATACAAGGTAAGTTGCCCACAAGATAAATCTATGCATTGATAGATGCTAGTCGTAAATCGCAAATTATACCGTGGGATCGGCCCACCTTGCGCATGGTGTGCCGATCCCAAAACGGTGTCGTTTTTTATTAAAAAAACTTAGGTTCTTAGTCCGTATTTTTACTCGTATTTCGAATTTCTATTGCAGCCGATTTCCTTCTTCCGTTTTTCTTTGTGTTCACTGCGCTTACGATCCTGATATGCGTTCAATAGATTTCTCGCAATTGAATCTCGCAATTTTATTCCTGTTAGTATTCATGACAACGTGATTCATTCATCTGGTGACAATAATTTTGAATGTGATCAGCCGGTTAATGTCGAAATTCTTGGTAAACATTACTGTTTTTTAGTTTTCTAAATTTAATTTCTCTTATTTATGCGTGCATTACGCTGTAATATCTTTTGTTCTCTGATTGTTTTTCATTCATATTTGTTGGATTTTGTTTTTTTCCTTTCAGGAGAAGAAGAAACTGGTTCAAGGGCATTTAAATTGTTGCATCTTCTCAGTAGAGGTACTTTTTCTGTAGTGTAATTGAATTTTTGTTTTGTTTGTTTTTAGCTCAATATTATGTAATTTTAGTTCACTTGTGTGTAACTTTTGTTTAGTTTTATGTAATTTAGTTATTAGATTTATGTAACTTTGGTTTATATGTATACAATTAATATTCAATAATATATAAATTATATTCAAATCTATGGAACTTCTTTTCTAGTGTATGTAACTTGCGCTACAGCTTATGTAACTTTGTGTGAGTTTTGTGTAACTTTATTTCTAGTGTATGAAATTTACTGTAAATCGTATGTAACTACACTTTATTATTATGTTACTTCTTCTGTGGTTTTATGTTTCTTCAGGTTAAGTCCACGTAATTTATGTCCAATATATTTAAGTTTCATTCAAAACTATGCAATTATTGTATGTGGCTTCAGTTAACTTTTTATGTAACTCTATATGTAGTTATATGTAACATTAGTCCAAGTGTATGAAACTTATGCTCAACAGTATGTAACTTGAATTTAATTGTATGTATCTTTTGTACATTGGTTTTTTCATATACGTGCTTTGTTATTTGTCAGATACATTGGCAACTGTTGATAAGGCAACTAAGTCTAAATCTCTTGTTGGAGTCGGTGTTAAATCTGAACAGGACTTATAATCTTTACAACACTCATGCTTTTGAAAATGGCTTTGGTATTCGAAGATACAAACAGAGGTTTAGGAGTGGCAATGTAAGTTTAATTATGAAGTCTTATTGTTGTTGGAAAGAAGAGAAGAAACTACAAAAGGGCACTGAAAACAAACTGTATACGAAATTAGATTATTGTTCAGGTTGTAAAGAAAAGCTACAGTTTTCTATTAGTCTTGATGGTGAATGGACTGTTTCAAAGCATATTATTGATCACAACCATTCTTTTTGTCCAATTGGTCAAAGACACCTTCTGAAATCACATCGAGGTGTTGATCATGAGTATCTTGAATTTATTATGTTGATGAAGGAGAGTGGGACAAAAGTTTCTGATATTCATCGTATGCTTCAAAAACAGGCAAGTGGTGTTAGTGCTCTTGGTTTCACCAAACGTGATGCTTATAACGTTCTAGAATCTGAACGGAGTAAAACGTTTGATGGTAGTGATTCTAACACTTTGATTTCTATATTGAAGAAAATGGTTAAAGTGGAATCTGATTTTTACTTTGATTTTGAGGTAGATGAAGGTGTACTGAGTTGTTTTTTCTGGAGAGATGGGCAAATGAGATCGGATTATGAGAGGTTTGGTGATTTAGTTGTGCATGATACAACTTATAGGACTAACAAATATGACATAATTTGTGGTCCGTTAGTTGGTACGAATCATCATTGTAAGAATATTATGTTTGGTTGTGGCTTTATGTTGAATGAAAAGGTTGAGTCATTTGTTTGGTTATTTCAGACTTTTCTGAAATCTATGGGCAGTAAACAGTCCATCACATTTATGACAGACCAATCATTTTCCATGGTAGCAGCTATAAAATCAGTTTTCCCTGAGTCAAGACATCGACTATGCACTTGGCATATAGATGAGAATTCAAAGAAACACATCATGTTTCTACGCAAGAAGATAAATTTTGTTCCTCTATTTAATTATGTTGTTAAACGATGTGACACAGTTGCAGAGTTTGATTTCTACTGGACTGAGTAAGTTATTTGTATTGTGATGTAACCTCTTATTTATTTCGTGTAACTTGTTTATTGCGTTTGTGTAAACTGTGTTGGTTTTATATGTAGCTTTGTATTGGTTTTTAAATTGGTTTCAGGTTGAACAGATTGTATGAATGCAATGATAATAAATGGTTAAAAAGGCTCTACAGTCATAAAGAAAAGTGGTGTCCTGCATTTTCAAAGGATTATTTCTCTGGCGGCATTCTATCTTCCCAAAGAAGTGAATCTACCAATAGATTCATATCCAGAAGACTCAAAAACTGCAACATTGTGTGACTTTTACAAAATGTTTGGTGATGTTGTTGATGAGTGGAGGTCAGAAGAAAATGGTGAAGATTTCAGATGTTCAGAAGGCACCGTTGAGATGGTATTGCTACAAAACAGTATGTTGTTTCATGCTAGAGATGTATACACCGTTGAGATATTCAAACTGTTCCAGGAACAATATTTGAAGGGTATGTCACACTTTTTTAAATTAAAGACACAAAATTCTCATGATTATGTGTATCATGTTTGGTTGGACGGTGTAGATTTGATTAGCCACAACGTTGCTTTTAATGGAAATGACAACACAGTGACTTGCACTTGTAAGCTGTTTTCAGAAGTTGGCATTTTGTGTAGACACATATTGCGCATTTATAATGTCCATTGTGTGAACTATATTCCTCAAGTTTATATACTGTCTAGATGGACAAAGCTAAGGCTGCTATTTTGCAAAATGTCAATCCTCCTTTTACTCAAGGAACAGATGTTATGTGTGGGAAAATAGTTAAAGATTCTGTTTGGAGAGTGCAAATGACGAGGAAGTTCAATGCTATATTGGCTGCAAGTGCTGGTATACCTGAAGCTAGGCAAGTATGTGAGGAAGGGTATAAATCTATCAAACACTCTTTAGATATTCAAAAAAGTGTTTCTTGTATGAATGAATTTGGTTCTGCTCCAAGGACAATACTTGATCCTCCACGTTCTCGCCCTAAAGGTGAGCGAAACAAAAGAAATAGAACCACTGTTGAAAAACAGTGCAAAATAGTCAAAGTTTGACGTTCTAAATCTCAAAATGTTGCCAGTAATTCAAAAGAAGTTGCACAATCTGTTGTTCAGGTATTTTCTTATTTTTATATTTTTTCCTTCTTTAATTCACCTTTTCTGATCATTTCTTTTTGTTTTGTTTTAATTCTAGGACACTGTCAGTTCTATGGTTCCACAAGGTTATCTTGTTCATCCGGTTGGAGGAATGCCTACTTTGATGACTGTGTTTGGATCTCCACAAGTTTTAGCTCCATACTTCATGCAGTCTAATGCTGTGAACCAAATGCAGAATTAGTTTTAGTTTAATTACTGTTTTTGATAGTAGATACTTTTTAAGAGACATGTTATACCTTTCTTTTTGTTTTAATGTAAATGTTGGAGACATTAATGAGATTTACATTTCTTTTGATGAGATTTACATTTCGTTTACTGGTTGTTAACATTTTGTTATCTTTTGTTTCCTATCTTTTGTGATTCAGTTCTATCTTTTATAATTTACATAAGTCCTCACGCGAGTTACATTTTTGTTATACGCTTTTTTACATAAGGTATAACTGAAGTTACATCGTGCACAACCAGTTGATTAAGGCACTCCAGTGATTACAACAAGTACTTGTCAAATAAAAAAGAAATTACATTTGAATTCAATAGCAAGTACATCTCAAATAAACCAAGGTTACATCTCAAGTAAAAATAAGTTTAATTTTATAAATACACTTCAACAATTACTAAATTTTTGTGATTCAGTTCTATCTTTTATAATTTACATAAGTCCTCACGCGAGTTACATTTTTGTTATACGGTTTTTACATAAGGTATAACTGAAGTTACATCGTGCTCAACCACTTGATTAAAGCACTCCTGAGTCTGTAAAGTGGTTTTTAGTAACATACTGAGACACAGATTTTACGAACTTCATAACATACATTAACATAATGCATCCACAACTTTAATAAGCCAAAGTAATTAATTTTCATACATGATAATTGCATAATGTACTACAATAATAACGGAGCAGAAACCATGAAATGTTGAGAGAACTTCATAATCTGTACGAAATTAATGTTCTGCCCTTGCCCAATTTCAAAACACACCCATAATATGAAATAATGTTTGAGACACCTTCCACCTTCAAAACAAATGTACTTTTCACAACAACCAGAACACTTTACATATTCATGAATTCTTTTTCTCTTTTAAAAACATTCTCCCTTTCTGTGTTGAAATTTGAGCTTATGACCTCTGCTGCATAGACAAGTCGTAGCTTCTTCAGAATTTGTTTCTGAGCTTTTACTCCTGCGGGTTTTAGATGCACTTGGGAATCCCGCATCCCAATTGTGTCCTTGTCCATGATAGGTTTCAAGGTGACGCATTACAAAAATGCCACAATCAACATAATTCGCATTGTACCTCCATGGCATATTCAAGATTCTAGGGTTCCATTTGTCCATTCTTCCAGCTGGATGGTTCATCTTATTGCAGTACTTTTTAAATCCTCCCACCTATTTTCAGCATATACATAGCAGACTGATACATTTACAAAATAAATAAATTTGACAATTCTTTATATTTCTGGAATACATGAACATAAGTTTACCACTTGGTTAAAACTCTTCTCATACTTATTATTAAACTCCACCCCCTTTTCAAGCTTCTTATTGTCTATGACATCAACTATATTATTCTTTTTCATGTAGAAGCAATAGATATAGTAGTGATGACTTTGGTGCACAGGAATCAAGACCTGCAAGTCATAAAAAGCATTCATTAGTTAATTATTTCATAGTGAATCATTTTGTTTATCTTTTTCAGTAATAATAACATTTTACCATATCATAATCTTTGAGATTTCCTCTTTCAGCAACTTCTAATTCCATTCTCTCTACCATCCTTTCTTCTTTGTCTGAATATTTCACTCCAAACTGTGCCTGTTTATTATCAACCATGGAAATTAATCATAATAATGAATGTTTTCCTATCTATTGAATGTATAAGTAATATGATACATATATACATAGACCATGCTAGAAAGTATTAGGGTGCGATGGGGAGGATTGTTCTTTGGTTCTCTGTCATTGAGTAATTTTACCCATTCATCTATTACTGAGTTGTCAAGATGTTCTCCTTCTTCTAGTGTTTGGAACTCCTCATGGTTCAGAAAAAGTCCAGACTCATCAAGATACAACATTTCACTAATACAATAACACATGTTAGTAAACAATTGATTGATAAATTATATTTTTACATTTCAGTATACATCAAGTTACTTTTTTTGTGTGAGTTACATTTTTAGAAACTGATATGCACTAATTAGTAGTGCATAAATGTATATTTTTTATGTTTGATTTGTGTGTATTGTTTACCATTGTTATTAGTTTGTAGACATTTGTTTTATTTGATTTGTAATTGTTTTTAGCTTCCATTTATAAGTTGTAAAGTAGTGGTAGAGTTTTTGGCAAGGAAAAGGAGGAAAAACAAGAGGAATGCTGCCCAAGGACACTTACCCGGTCAGGTAGGAATACTCACCCGGTCGGGTACGATTTAACAAGCGAAAGTGCCTGGAAAATCAATGGACCCGGTCGGGTCAGATGTCACCCGGGACAAAACAATGTGCTGAAACACAAGAACGTGGAAGATTATCTGATTTTGACATGCACCCGGTCGGGTGGGCACTTGACCCGGTCGGGTACCCGACCAAAGGTGTTGAAAAACACCTACAAATAGCACACTTTTCCTTCACTAATAATCATTCCTTCTTCCATACTCTTAAGCTCAGTTTAGAATAGTATTTCTTTTATATTTTTATAGCATGTTTAGTCTCCAAATGAGGAGCTAAACTTCCATTTCTTGGTGTTGCTCTTGAAGCTTGTTGATTATTAAAGTTGTGAGTTATTTTCTTAACTTCTTCCCTTGAATATTAATTCTTCCCTTAATCTATCTATAAATTAATGTTGGGGAGTGTTGCTAAGATGACAATTAGTTAACATCGCGACATTAGTTATAGTAGTATTCATTTGCTTCCTATATATTAATGTTAATGAGTGTTGCTAAGAAGACAATTGGTTAACATCTCGACATTAGTTATAGTAGTATTTATTTTCTTCCTCTATATATTAATGTTGGGGAGTGTTGCTAAGATGAGAATTAGTTAACATTTTGACATTAGGTATAGTAGGATTTATCATCTTTAATATTTTTTCTTGAATATTAATTAATTCATTTTCATATTTCATATTAATTTTTTGAACATTACTTAAAGGATCAACTAGTTTTGTTTCATATATTAATTATTACTAGAATCGATCGACGAATACGCTTGTTAATCGTTGATGGTTTCACAAGTAAGTAACTTCGGTTTATTAATGCACGGTCGTGGTTAATAAACTTAAGAGGGATTAATTTTGTTGGTTAAACCGAAACCGTTGTGTTGAGGTTATCAATCTCAATTGATTTTACCAAGGAGTTAAGAGATTAAATGCTACTATCAAGTCGGTATATGGAGGTGTTCTATACTTGACTAATAGTAAGGGTTATTAATGAACGGTCGTTGTTAATAACTACCCTCGATGAATTGGAGATACTCCTCGATTGAGTATTCGAGAGGGGATAAGTTATAGATATAACAATGATCGACTAAAATATATCAACAAGTGTAAAGTAGAAATGCCAAGTCCTTTTTATCATTGAATTAAATCTTATATAAGTCGTTCATCTTCGTATTTAATTAAATTAAATCACTCAATCCCAAAAACCCCCTTATTTACTAGTTTTACTAAAAAGGGATTTATTCTTTTTCCTGTGGATACGAACTCTCCTTCACCTATACTACGTATAAGTGCTAGTATCGAATACTATTTTGATGCTCCGTGACAAAGTGCCTGTCAGAAACTCAGTTAATATCATTTTTATACTCACAATTTTGTTTTTTTACATGTTGTGTAGACCAGGTTATATTTTATTATAACATGGTTTACATCATTGTTACTTTTA